AGAAAGACCGAGTACGTTTGAGAGAAGAAGGGCTGGAGTACAGCCTGAGATAGTGGGCTTCAAGGGGATCTCGTCTCAGTGTACTGAGCCTACATGATCTGGAGACACAGTCTCTGCATATTAATTCTGGGGCAAACTAGATTTGATTTGCAGCATGAGTGGCAGCGTAAAAGCAGCTTTCCCAGCACGGCTTCTGCAGGAGATACTGAGTGAGGCTGTATCGCAGCTCTGGTGAGCCAAGCCAGTGCATCTGCTGGGTCACTGCTTCCCTGATATCCTAGCACAGGGGTGGGAGAACACCTCCGCCACCGTGGGTGCGGTGTTTCGGTCAGGTCATTCTGCAGGGCAGCCCTGGGGGTGCGAGGAGCCGGGCCCTGGCTGGCCCGAACAGGTCTGCCGCAGGTGCGATTCAGTACCATCGGCCCCAAACGTCATGGCACGCAGGCCACCAATACTACTCCAGCCCCAGTCAGGCCCCATCCCAGCACGTCCCAGCTGCCGTTTCACATCTGCCGTGACACAGGCGTCTTCTCCCACCCACCGGGCTGGCACTGGCCCACGGCAAGAGGTCTTTAAGTTTGAGCCAGCCTGAGGGAGCGACCCAAAAGGAAGCCTACAGAGAAGGATCTCCCAAGTTCCTTCCCCATACTGAACTAGCTGGGACCTTTTTATGCAATGCCAGAGGATGCTCCAAGGATAGGACAACAAGTCCTATCAAGTCAAGAAATTTACCTCTGTGGACATTAACATAGACTGCAAGCACAGTTTAGACATAAGGTCTAGAGACCGCTGGGGGTCCCTACTCCCACCCCACTCAGAGCAGAGGCAACACCAGCATTGCATTAGGTTGCCCAGGGCCTTGTCCAGGTGCTTTGTGGGCATCTGTGAGAGCACGGTGCATTCTTACAGAGTGTTCTAGACAGCATCACCATGGTGTGATGGAACCACATTCTCACACACGGGGATGATGTGTTCATTTTCCAAGCCGCTGCTCAACAAATATTAGCTTATTCTGAAACAGCATTACTGTGGTAAGTTTATTTGTACATTATATCTGAGCCCTATGATGCACCTTGCTCTTGTTTACACATTTACAAAATTCATGGTTTTTATTTCATAGAATCGTATCATAGACTCACAGAATGCTTTGGGATGGAAGGGACCTTTGAAGGCCATCCAGTCCGTCCCCCCTGCCATGGGCAGGGACATCTCCAACCAGATCAGGTTGCTCACAGCCCCATCCAGCCTGGCCTTGGATGTTTCCAAGGATGGGGC